AACATTACACACACTACCATGTATTTGACACACGCACGTACATAGTATATAATATACTCTTTGTTTATTGTGAAACTTTTGTGATTGTATACCATAGACCTCTATACTTCAGTGTTGTATACAGTCTGTGGTCAAATTGAGAATAGGTTAATATTGTTTATCTTTAATATTATTTGTCTATAGTGTAGTCTTGGCGAAATTTGTGATTATAGAAATATAATAATATAATAAGTCTTTGACAATAGAATCATAATAGTGTACAAACTTACAATTTCAATTAATTATAGTCGAATTTCGATTACTGCAGGACCAGTAGTATTAAGTTAATTCCTCAAAATTGTTTATTACATTATCAAAAGAGTTGATAATGGTTTCAAGTTCTTTATATTTCGCAGCTATAAGAAAAATAACGAACAAAACACATCTCCGACTATTAAAAGATCCATAATGTTATCAAATCTAAAAGCTTACTGAACCGAATATAAACACTGGCGTTTTTTCTCAGTTTTTTTTCAACAACAACAAAAAAAATATTACAGCAAAAAGCCCGACAGTCGAGCAAAGAAGATTCATATCACGTACTCGGGCAAAAAAATACGCAATCCTTTACGTGAACACAATTAAGGATTGCCGACGTACACGCGGAAGTGTATTTAACTTGCAGCAATACAACACGTTTAGTTCAAATATACTACTTTATTACAATTGTTTTTTGAACGCCCAAAGTAAGTTCAATTAATTCGCTTCTTTCATATTTATTGATAAGTTATCTTTATGTTACAATCATGTATGATGAGAATTTGTTTCGACTGATCGTGACGTGAATGTGTCCCTGTTAGCGTCAATGTCCATTGCCTTAATACACATATGCTCAACTTAACTATCAAAACGATAACAAGCTTAACCTACTACTTTTCATTACACTGTGTAGTTGTGTACGCAATTTGTCTAAGAAATTGAGTCTGTCGGCTTGTTTTTTCTCCGCCGTAGCGAGAAATTCCCTTTGCCTTGTATTCCACGAATATAGAGAAAAAAGTTAATTACCATCTCAATTATCGAGTCTACATGAAATAAAGTTACAAAGCTGGGATATTGTTTAAATTTGATCGCAAGACGAAACTATTATATCAAATCCTGATAAAACATACAGAGCAAAAACATCTCTAAGAAATTAGTCTGCCCCACAAATCATTAGACTTAACGGTGTACCACGGAACATAATTGCTTGTCGTGATGACGCAGAGTTATTTGCAGGTTCTAAAATAATGTTGTCTTATTATTACTGCTTAAGATGGATGACCACGCGCACGGCTCAACTGGTATTAAATGGTTGCAAGGGTCGTTTGAAATCTCTGGGTCTGCGGAGGGACTTCGGTTCCCTCTGTATTTTGTACCGTATGTTCCATGGGGAGTGCTCTGAGGAACTGTTCGAGATGATACCGGCATCTCGTTTTTACCATCGCACCGCCCACCACCGGAGTAGAGTTCATCCATACTACCTGGAGCCACTGCGGTCATCCACAGTGCGTTTCCAGAGATCTTTTTTGCCACGTACCATCCGGCTTTGGAATGAGCTTGACTCCACGGTGTTTGCCGAGCGCTATGACATGTCCTTCTTCAAACGAGGCTTGTGGAGAGTATTAAGCGGTAGGCAGCGGCCTAGTTATGCCCCTGGCAAACAAGGGTCAACGTTGAGGCATGAGATTTATAACGGCAGAATAGGCAAGATGATGGTTATATTTATACCAGCAATTATAGTTGTTATTATCTCCCTCTTAAAACACCTACGGTACATAATACTAAAAAATTAGATCCTGATACAAGAACAATCCAATATTCGCGTATCAATATATACGTGCTTCTTATATAGGACATGGACGATCAAATAACTACATTCACATGTTGATATCAGTCTCTAGTAATTACCACACCAGGTGGGACGCGATTCTGCTTAGATACAAAAATACCTTTTTTATTTCTAATTCCTTAATACTTATTATCAAATGATTGACGCGTAGCATTATAATTTCAGCTAAGTACGAAATCAATGGATATTTGTCACGCTCGCATACAGCTAACAATAGGATGAAAGAGCGAATTTTGGCGAAAATCACCCTATTTTAGGGAAAAAATCTCATTTTAATTCGACCTTTTGTTGGTCTTTTTTGTGTAAACATCATTATCGGATTAGTAGGCGCGTGCCCGCGTCGCGTCAGTTAAAAATGTGTGCAATTCACACGTGGTAGAAGTGAAACCTTCCAAAATTAAAATACAATTATCCTAAACGTCTTAAGTATATGTAAAATTTTGTCATTAGTAAATAATTGTAAGGTAGCGCCCTCTGTGAATTGATATTTTAATTTCACGTATAATCCTAAATTAAAATTCACTACAAGAGCTTTCATACACACGTTATTATTAAAAAATCTCACAGATGGCGCTGTATTAAATAGTATGTATATTTCTGTCTCATTCTTTGCTGGCTTCATCCTACACATTTTTGTATTTGTGTCTCTTACCTGTCGTTTTTTCCGTTGCATCCGGTTTGAAATCACAACGATTCTAAAGAAGTTTTCACTTCAAAAAAAAAAATGTGTGCAATTCACACGTGGTAGAAGTGAAACCTTCCAAAATTAAAATACAATTATCCTAAACGTCTTAAGTATATGTAAAATTTTGTCATTAGTAAATAATTGTAAGGTAGCGCCCTCTGTGAATTGATATTTTAATTTCACGTATAATCCTAAATTAAAATTCACTACAAGAGCTTTCATACACACGTTATTATTAAAAAATCTCACAGATGGCGCTGTATTAAATAGTAAGTATATTTCTGTCTCATTCTTTGCTGGCTTCATCCTACACATTTTTGTATTTGTGTCTCTTACCTGTTGTTTTTTCCGTTGCATCCGGTTTGAAATCACAACGATTCTAAAGAAGTTTTCACTTCAAAAACGTACAACTCTAGATTCTGTACTTTCTAGGTATTGTTGTGATGTATAGAATAGAAAAATACGTATTTAATTGGAACGTTACACAGTTATAGATCTCTTGCATCTCCGTAAACATATCGATGTGTGATGTATCCTTGATTATCCAGATGCATCGGTAAGGATTAAGAATTGTGATCGCATTCCTATCGAGTGATACGACTGATGTGCGTTTTTTTTTATATTTCTTTTTATTGCTTAGTTGGTTTGACGAGTTCACGGCCCACCTAGTGTTAAGTGGTTAGCCTATAGACATCTATAACATAAATGCCGCCACCTACCTTGAGATATGGGTTTTAAGGTCTCAATTTTTACAGTACAACGGCTGCCCCGCCCTTCAAACCGAAACGCATTACTGCTTTACGGCAGAAATAGGCAGGGTGGTGGTACAAACCCGTGCGGACTCACACGAGGTCCTATCACCAGTAATTAATACGTACTTAAAAACTGATGATGATGATGGATTCACGAATGACTTTTTATATTGCCCTTGTAGGCAGACAAGCATACGGCCCACCTGATTGTGAGTGGTCACTGGCGCCAATGCACTCGAGCAATGCCAGGGATTGAGCCAAGCCACTGCCTACCGACTTCCACGGTGAAGGAGTAATACCGCGTGATAAAAATCAAACCCGGAATAAAATATTATTTGCATAATTACTGGTGATAGTTTTTTGTGAGCACGCACGAGTAAGTAGTACCCCCTTGCCTATTTCTGCCGTGAAGCCGTAATGCGTTTCGGTTTGAAGGGTGGGGCTGCCGTTGTAACTATACTGAGACCTTAGAACTCATATCTCAAAGTGAGTGGCACATTTATGTTGTAGATGTCTATGGGCTCCAGTAACCGCTTAACACCAGGTGGGCTGTGAGCTCGTTAACCCATGTAAGCGATAAAAAAAATTATCAATTGCCTGAATTTCTTTAAGGGCTGTCGCATTCTACTAATGCACCCGCTTCCAATAGGATGAATGATCTAATAAAGAACTACAAACAGAATCTCAATGACAATACTTGGATCAGATATAAAATATGCAATTAGCGTAGTCAAAACTTCTGTACCCTGTACCTCTTCAACGAATATTCCGTGAATATGAAAAGACAAAATTGAAGAATCATAAAAAATAATTAGCTAGAAACACACTGATTTAATCTTGAATAAAAAAGACGTCTAAAAGGCGATCGATTAGATTCTGATGATAAGGTTTTTGTGAAGAACATATCGGTACAAAATACTTTTCCGTCGAGATACAGCTGATCAAACGCCGGATTATCGAGTAAGAACGTTATGAACGACTTTTCCAATTCGATTACAATCTACTAATGAATGTCGTATTGGAATATGTTTGTGAATTGGACACATGTAACTTTTAGACATACAGTGGACAAATATACATATATAAACAAAATAATCCAGATCAACAACATTTGGAGGGTGTCTACGCTTGGAACAAATAATAAGTCGGTTTTGTGGAAGTAATGTTATATATTTTTAGTATGAAAATAATAATTAGATAAAATATGTTTTGATTTTTTTTTAAAAAGGCGCCAAAGTCGTCAGCGAGGGAAAATGCACAGATAATATAAAAAATGTGCAAATGCGTTTCGTTTCACGCTGTGAAAATCTTGAGTGGAAGGAATATAGAGAAACGAATTGTTATGTCAAAAATTCCTGCCCACAATTCACCAAGCGCCAGTTTTTAAAGAATCGTGATTTTTTAAATATATTTTACTGCGATTTTTCGTTCAAGCAGTTTGGTGTTAAGCGGGAATCGGAGCCGAAGGATTCGGCCCACTTTGACACCGGGCGTGACACAAAAAGTTGTTGACTCAATTGAATTTACACAGCATAGCCTCTAATTCGTATCGATTATCTCTTGTAAACTCGAGTAAAACCGAATTAATATATATGAGATCGTAAAGTCAATGCGATAAGATTCAAATCGTAATTTACCCGTACACATACATATATAAGACTTCGATTACACGATACCAAAGTCAATACCGCTAGCAATGCTGTCGAAAATATACCTAGCGTGTTTAGTGCCAGCGTTCGCTTTGACGGATATCGACATAAAGTGCATGGCCAATAATGAAGAGCATCTATCAAACGACAGGCTCCTGGGCACTTGGTACATAATGTACACCTTCTCATTTATGGGCGGCGTCATACCCACGACCGCTTGTACCAACATCACAATCACGAAACCCACTGCCGAAGACTTGCAGCTGTTCAAAGACGAATACCTGGCCCCTGGCCTCCCGTACTCGTTTGAAGACAACCCTGTACTCTCTACCAAGGGTCAAGAAAATGGCATGCTGATAGGAAACAATAGAGCCAAATTCTATGTTCTCAAACCTAATGACGGATTTTTAAATCCATTTGGATACGAAGTGCAAGCTTACCAGTTCTTGACCGAGAAATTCGTGATGCATACTCCGTGTCCGCTGAGGGGAAACCGTAGGATGCTTTTGTCCAACGACAGACATGCAACGGTCGAGGAAATGGAGCGAGTGATCAAGAATACACGTGAATTAAACATTCTTGAGAGGAACAGATTTTGTGCTTAAACTACTTATGGTAATTAAAGTCTTGACGAAATATAAGAATAATTCGTTTTATTCACTGAGTCTACAGTAACCCGATGATAAGTGACTTACCACTCTGAAATCTTTGGAGTGACGGTAAAAGTAAATCTTAAAGTGACATAAAAGCTGAACCAAATCGTCTGACTCACAATACCAATAATTTTAAGAAATACACCATGCAGTATATAAACTATATAATGTCGCGTTCGCATGTGTGAATTGTAGGTTGTGAACATTTTTTTTTATGAAGCAAGGATTAGTGATGGCCTGAAAACCTTTATAGTTTCAGCAGGACAGGTGGGCGAGCAAGGGCTCAGCCAGGAGAGCTGGGATTTGGTAGCAGCTGCCCGAGCGCCTCTGAAGGAGACCTAACAACGCAAGGGCAGCTGTTTCGCGAATGCACTACTACCGGGACGATTTATAAGATGCTAAATATCCAAAAAAAGGAAGACGGCCAAAATGTTGGGCAGATGATATAAAGAGTGTAGCCGGCAGGCATTTATTTATTTAATATAAATATGGCCAAAAATAGAGAATATTGGTAATCTTTAGAGGAGGCCTTTGTCGAGAGATAAGCTGTTTTGAAAACCACACTGAACGCCGAACGTAATACTTGATGATAAGTTGAATTTAAATTTAATTTATTATTATGTAATTTATTAAGTTAGTAATTAATAAGTAAAACAACAATAAAGGCTTATTATTATTGTTATTAAATATTAAAACCTATTAATTTCTTGCCCGCCGATAAGTGGCGACGCGCGTGATAACATTGTCGCCACTTCGACATTTACAAGTTCCGAACAAAATTGGCATCGTCAGTAAAGCGCGCAAAAACATCCACGTGCAAAATATTTTCTTCGTATTAGGAAAAAGAAGGAAATTATGTTCGTAAAACTTAAATTTATTAAGAAAGCTATTTGTTAAGTGATGTTATTAATTATATTCCTTTGAATACTGTAAATTATTATATATATGTATATAACGATGTATATATCGAACCCGTCGCTTGCGACGAAGGGCTCGACGAGTAAATTAACCCCCACACACAGCCCACTGAGTTTCTCGCCGGATCTTCTCAGTGGATCGCGTTTCCGATTCGGCGGTAGATTCTGCGAAACACGACTCTTGCTGGGGCTCGTGTTAGCAATGTCATCAGGTTTGAGCCCCGTGAGCTCACCTACTAGTTAAGGCTACGCTGATATAGCCTCTCAAGGCTATCAGCTTAGGTAGGAAAAACAAAAAACAAAAAAACCCGCCAATGTAAATTTTAAATGAAGTGTAATAAATAAATAAATAGCCACGGCCACCTACTAGATGGACCGACGACCTAGTAAAAAGCGCTGTGTCTCGTTGGATGCAGGTGGCAATGGACCGGTCGCACTGGAAATCTATTGGAGAGGCCTATGTTCAGCAGTGGACGGCGATAGGTTGAAATGATGAAATAAATAAATAAAATAAAACTCATCATGATGTGACGCGAGCACCTTGTGCGACAAGGACAGCAAAAAGAAGGAGTAAAGTTTGCAGCAACGTCGCTAGCTGTGCGCCCAGTACGCCGCGCCGAGGTCTAATTTGAATAGTTTGTAACAAGCTCCAGTTGCAGTTTTGTTTTGTTCGTCTAGCTTTGCAGTTTTGGTCACGTTCCGCAAATAAGGTATCAAATAGCATTAGGTGAGGTATTTCCGTAATTCATATTATCTTTCCCAGAGTTTCACTTTTCGAAGTCGTCGTGGTCCAATGGGTGATACGCCCGGTGTACCTACCTAAGCGATGCCACTTTACCGGCGTTCGAATCCCGTAGACAGGTATCAAATATTCTAATGAAACATGCACTTGACTCATGTTCACGAACGTATTCCACGATAAACGAATAACATCGTGTAATAAGAGTCGTTACTGGAGCCCATAGACATATACAACGTAAATGCCGCCACCTACCTTGAGTATAATAGTATGATAGTTCTAAGGTCTCAGTTTATACAGTACAACGGCTGCCCCACCCTTCAAACCGAAACGCATTACTGCTTCGCGGTAGAAGTAGGCAGAAATTACTATACAAGTGACACTTCAAGCTTCAAGGGTGGAGACATGTCTCAAGTCGGGTGGCGACGCTTATGTCGTTGTTGTCTACGGACTCCGGTAACCACTTCACACTAGTGTGCTTAGTGCGAGTTTTTTAACGTTCTCGATAACGTAAAAGTTAACTCAAATTTGTATGGAGTTGGAGCGTTTGCCTACGTTTGCCGCTAGGGGCGCTGTTCGCACTGAGCACACAGGTGGGCTGTGAGCTTGTTCTTCGTGTAGTCACGTAACTCAAGCTCGTCTAACCAACTAACGCAATAAAAACCTCAAGATAGGAATTAAAGGGATAATGGTGCAGGGAGGACATAACGAATATGTCAGCTCGGGGTAACCTGGGCGCATACCCGCATTTGCTCATCGATAACCGGATAGCCTTTTGTCATAATATCATCTTGTAAAATCTACTGGCTTACAAAAACACGCTATTTCTCTTGGGTGCTTGTGTGGTTTTGAATTTCGTATGAGTTATATGGCCACTTACCAGGTGGACCGACGACCTGGTGAAAATCGCTGGGTCACGTTGGATGCAGGTGGCAACGGACCGGCCGCACTGGACATCAGTTGGAGAGGCCTATGTTCAGCAGTGGACAGTAGAGAGGCTGAGATGATGATGATGATGATGAGTCCAAAGTGAGTAGCGGTTCTACTAAGCCTCGGGCATCGCTTGAATTAATATTCAGTCAGCAATCACCATCGGGTATGTTCGTCTAACTCTAAATCAAATAAAACCAACTATAAATACCTAAATAAAAACGTAATAAAATATGTGTTTGCCGAAAACATTCGAGCGATAACTTCAATAAGGCGATATTATAAGAAAAATACGTAGAGAAAAAGAGCCGCGAGCGTCACTGTCGAAGGGAGAGCTCGAATGTAATAATATATACGATGTTCAAGAATAGGTGCAAAAACACCTTCTCTTAGAGTATTGTTTGTTTTACGAAGCGCCGGAGTAAACATCGTTTGTCTCCGGCCCCGGGCGATCGGTTGGGCCGTAAAACAAGCGACAATATAAATTACAAAAATAAGCTATAAATGTGTCGATGTGTTGATGTTCTCGAGATTAGATGTTATCATTATTTTGTTTTTTGTTATAATTATTAGTCATAAGTTCATAAGATATTAAATTAAGTATTGTTTTTAATTAATTGTAATGTGTGCCAATATATCATAAAATGTCAACTGTCAGTCATATTTCATATCGTCTAACGGCCGTTTTCAATAACCTATCTATCCCTAGTTTCGGTTACTAAAGATAGACAAATCTATATTTTTGTCCTTACTTACGTTCCAATAACCTATCGACGGGCAGCAGTTCCTATCGGATTTATCTATCCATCGTCGGGAGGACGGATAGCCTGCTAAAGATAGAACGCTCATACAAATCGTGCTTACTTCCGTTTCAATATGNGTTTCGTATTTGTAGTAGAACGAAACGTATCAAGAGGCTCGGATAAATCGGAGGGAAGAAGCTATCTACTGTTGGTTAAAGAGAGATAGCACTTATCCGTGATTGTGAAACGCAAACTAAGGACAGATACGCTCTTGCTGATATTCGGAGATAGCTATCTATCCGAAAACTCAGATACGTTATTGAAAACGGCCGTAAGTCAATTATTGTCACCCTTTAAACATTCTATATTAATGTCTTAGCTACTTTAAAGAAATTAGTCATATAAGAAAAGTTTTGTACTTACCTTAAAAATAAGTGTAGTCTTTAACTTAAAAGGGGAGATGTTAGGTAGAGAATGTAAACTATGGCAATACGGCCAGACTACTTCCGCCATTAAAACAAGACACACGCAGAGCTCGTCGTTTTATTATAAAATATAGTTATGCCAAAACCGGGCATCCTATGACTTCACAAGATGGACCTTTTCTCAATCATAGTAGAGAGCTCCATTAATTTGCTCGAAATGGTAAACTATCCTAATCGTATTGTTACACGCTGGGGTTCGGGATAAATAAAAAGTTCCACCAAAGTACAAATTAAGACTGTATTAGCATTTAGAACACTTAAAACACTTAAGGAACACTTTAAAATTCTCAAAATATTTCTTTCGTTTCGCTTCAAGTGATCCGTTCGCTGTTTCGCTTCGAGTAGTTTCGATTACTAACTGCTTTATGCCACCTCTGAAACGCTTTCATAGTCGATACGACATCCCTAGAATTTCAGAGAGAATTCTTCACAAGTCGAGTATTTTCGATTTGTGTTTTCGATATCTGACAATAGGTGGCGTTTTGTGAATGTATTTCTCCAGCGTTCTAGATGTTACTAGATCCTTTGCTATCCGTTCCGGCTATTCGGCAATAGATGGCATTCCTCTAATCGGCGTAACAGTATTATGTGTATGTATGTATGTTATTTACTTTTGTTTTATTACTATGTCCTTACTAAGATAATAATATTTTAAGAAGTCACTGTTACTTAAAAAATTCAATCGAGTTCATGCTGAAATGCTATTAATATTCTCAATTCATTCAAAGTCACTTCAAAACAAACTTGATTTCAAGAGTAATTTAATTATTCGACAAAATTCGATATAACGTAAACAAAACATTAAGATGTGAATCACGGTAAAACAAACAACAGTTCTAAATAAGTATTGATCGAAGTTACTACAGAGAAACGCAAGCTCTTCTTATACGACTGCTGACTAAATAAGAAAATGTTTATATTCAAAGGAATCCACAGGTCTCTAACTCTAATTAATTCGATTAATAACAATAATATATTATTTAGAACTGGCCCACGAGACTACCGCCATAAGGCATGTTGTTCCAATAGTTGTGGCGGTACACGGCTTATAAAGTTTCAATCAACACCTTAAGAAACTTTCGTTATCCAGCTGCGTCAGGGGTCTTATACAGAAGGCAGCTATCCTCAATACTGCGCG